TAATTGTAGATGGAGAAATCTGATGGGTATAAGAAACAATCCGGCTCCAGGAAGAAATGGGATGGTGGTGGCCCCGGTGGCGGCCCATACGGTGGTGGTGGTGGCCCACGTGGGCCGCCACGTGGACTAGACAATGTTAGAGGCATAGACCACAGTATGTTATTTACTTTTTTTTCAATTTTTTTTTCTATGACATGATTTATTTGTTAATTCTGACATTATTGATATTATTTTTCTCTTTGTAGACTCACTTCCGGCCTGTGGGTCCTGCTGCGGTGGTTAACAGATATAGATATAGATATAGATATTATGATGACATAATCTTGCTCTTGGTATTGTGAAGTGAAAACAATAAAGTTCTGTAAGAAGTTTGTGTTTTGTGTTATCATGAAAAAAGTGTTTTGAAGGTTTTAAGAATATTATGTGATTACATTTTTATATATCCAAATGTGAAGTCATATGTTCCATTTTTTTTCCTCCCTAACATTGATTATAGCAAAATCTACTTTCATATTTTTCCAAGTTGTTTTTTTTAAAAGAAATATATCTATTTATGTCTGAATGTTCATTTGGAAGTGTTTAATGTCATTGTATTTCAATCAAATGTTTGATTTTATACCCTAATATCGATTGTAGTTCACATTTACTACGTTTGCTTAAGTTTTTGTTAGATTTAAGTAAAAAACGATTTTTTTTTTTCGAAATTTCAGAATTATTTATTGGATTTTGGCGTTCTTGAAATTTCAGGGTTTTTTTTTTTTTGAACTTCGAACTTCCAAAATGTTAGTCTAGAATTCTAAGTTTCGGTGCTAAATTTTTTTATTTGTCAGAAAAAGTGTTCTTTTTAGTATAGAATTTTCATTTCGGACTAAGTGATTATTTTTACTAAAAACAATTTTTCTGTTTTTGTTATTTTCTTCAAATACATATTAAATTGTGATTAGACAACTTAATTTCCCTTTTTTATAATATGAAATAAAATAAAAATAAATATTAAAAGTCGAAGTATGGGTAAAATAGTATTTTCAGATTGAATATCATGAAACTACAACTATCCATACAACTATTGATTGAATATAATAACATGAAACTACAACAACCATCCATACAACTATTGGAAACCACCGGAACCATTCACATCAAAAATTAAAAATGCAACTTTTGATTAAGTATATGGATTATTTATACAACTTTGTCTTTTTAAATTAACGTGAGCTAAGTTATGATCTGTTAAGTTTTGTTTGACGAAACGGGCAACCTGTTTAGGTTTGATTGACAAACGAGTTGATCTCGAGTTTATTAGATTATTAATAAGCAGAGCTCGAGTTTTATAAATCTTAACAAACTGAGATTGAGTATGATTAGGTTTTAAGATCGTTCTAGCTTGTTTACACCCTTACCCTGGTATCTAAACAATATAATTATCCTTAGATCATACCCTCATATGAAAGTGGGATGAGTTTTGAGAGAAAAGAAAAAAAAAAATATTGTATATAACATCAGTTGCATATCAAGGCATAAATTTTAACCCTAAGCCAACAAAATTTATACTTAAAAGTGACTTATGGTAAAGTCATACACGTCCACATCTTTAATCGCATATTAATCGAAATACCAAGTATTGTTAAGCCATGGCCATTTAAACCGCATGGACCACATATTCAATTATTACACACAAAATTTGGTCCACCAAAATCTAAAATATTTGAGTCACATGATGATAATGATTTCATTTTTATTCATAAAAAATGTACGATCAAACTAATCATAGCTTTTAGATATATAATGTTTATTGAGTGGTCCATCCATGATCACACTATCCTTTCATCATATTAATATCGGTTTACGATTTGATTAAGAGATAATTATAAAATGCCGATGTCATATCAATAGTACTATAATAGTATATAATAGTACACTCATGAGTCATGAGTCAAAGTGATGTTAAAGGACAAATATAATCTTATAATAAGTTATAAAAAATAAAAAAAAAAAAAGTTGAATCATATTGGTTATCTTTTATAACTTATAGAGTTCGAAGTATGCAGGAAATGGACTTAACAATATCTTCATCACCGATCCTTATAACAATTTCTTATTAATAAACAATAAACACAATTACATCTTACAAACACAACAATCAAAACACATAATAACACAAACAAAATCCAATCATCATTCAAACCTTACGAAGAATAACTTGAACACCTTTCTTTGGGGTGAGTATAAACACATCAGCTGGAAAATGAACATAATTACTCGAAAGACTCAACTTATAACGCTGCAAGATCATCGAAAGTGCAATCTTTGCTTCATTTGTAGTAAAATTTAAACCAACACAAGTTCTAGGCCCCATCCCAAAAGGCAAAAATGCTGCAACATTGTTCTTTGTAGCTTTTGCGACACCATTCGCGAATCTGTCGGGTAAAAAACAATGAACATCTTTTCCCCATATTTCTTCATTGTGATGAAGTGCAAGAATTGAAATGAAAATATTTATTTTAGCAGGAAGAGTAAGGTTTCCGAGTTTGATCTCCCTCTCTACTTTTCTTGTCATTGTAATCACGGGAGGGTATAGCCTAAGTGACTCATTGATCACCATGTTCATCTGCATTTTCAAGAAACTTACGATTTAAAAAGTTGGTTTAATTTTGATGTGAAGCATATTGAGGATCTAGCATAAGCATTTATGATAAATGGGAATGACAAATTATAGAAATAAACAGAACATCAAACATGCATAACTTTTTATCAGTCAGGAGTTTCGAGACCTATATTATATGAATGGAAAGTTTTCAATGAGTTGAGCTTCATATGATTTTGTTTTCAAAAGAAAAAAAAAACATGTAATTATATATCTACTTAGTGTGTTCATCTTAAATTTCTAAAATTGGGCAATATTTATATTTATTAAATTTAGCTCCGTTGAATGTAACCTTTTAGACACCTTGAAATCAATAAACAGGTTCCTTTTTTGAATCTTGATCACTTTGTTGTATTTACTTTTGTTATGTGTCAAACATAGACAAAAATGAAATGAGTTCTTACGGTTTTAAGTCTTGCGATGCCATCTGAAGTTGGGGTTTCGCGACCAAATAACTCAAGGACTTCTTCTCTTACTTTTTCTTGCCATTCTTGATTGGTTGCTAAAAGGAAAACAGTCCACGAAAGCAAGTTTGTGGTTGTTAGATGTCCAGCACCATAAATCGCTTTGATTTCATCGATCATTTGTTCTATTGTGATCTTCTTCTTTTCATTAAAATCATTAGCAATTTTCACAAGTTGTCCAAGATAATCAGTTCCAAAACCATCAGCATCTTTGTCTACATCCGCCTTTCTTTTCTCTACAATGTCTAGAATCGCTCTCTTTATTGCCTTTTCAAGTTTTTCCGCTTCAATTTCATCATTCGTCTTTATTATCCAACTAAAAAACCAAACGCAAATCAATCCAAAACAATTAGCGACAGATTTAGTGATCTGTTGCTAAGTTATGGACATTAGCAACGGATTAGCAACCGAATTGAGATACAATTTCCATACCTAGTACCTGGAAAGCATAATTTGTAGATGTTTCTAACCGTTATTTCTGTTAGTTTCGCAACCATCTCAAATATATGCTTCCCTTCAACATAACTACTACCAAAAGCAGTTCTGGATATCACTTGAGTTGTTACTAGCCCAAATTCTTTATGCACATCGATTTCTTTACCTTCATAGTCCTTCCACTTCTCTACCATTTCCCCAATGCTTTTGCTCACCTCAGGAATCATATTCTGTGAAACATATCATATTCATCCTAAGATCACTACTAAAAAACCAAGCATTAGCAACAGACGAATCCGTCGCTAAAAAATTAAGACTTAGAAAATTGATGATGATCACCTTCAAGCTCTCAGAATGGAAAGTATGGTTAGCAAGTTTTCGAACTGTTGCCCATTTTTCACCTTCGTTAGTTATAAGAGCTTCACCTAATAACTTCTTTGCATACCCTTCCATGTCCATTTTAGGGTAAGCTCCTTCTCGGTTGTTTAATATTTCCTTTATAAGCTCCGGTTCATTAACAAAAAGTTGTGCTTGTGAACCATGCCAATTTATAAAATTCATCCCTAGAAAGTACAAAAAAATGTATAATCGTGTATATAATTAACATTGGTTTATGTTTTTATAGGAAGTTTTACCATATGTTTTTATCCAGGAGTAGACATGTGGCTGAATTCGTGGAAATATATCATGTGATGTATCCATGGGTTGACTCATGGATTGGTTTCTCATGGCTGTGATTACTTTGGTGTTTCCATGAGGAAATGTAAATGGAAGACCTTTGATTCCTTGTGATTTCATCATCTTTTGTATTGTAATCGGAGTCCACCATGTGTTATTCAAACATGTAAAAAGAGATCGAAGGAGAAATAGACTTGATATGATGATTATGAGAGCCAGAACTATAGCCATGGCTTTGAAGATTTAGCTGTTTTTTTGGGAAAAACATTTGATGCATTATTTATAAGGGATTCGAACAAGGACAAATTATAATCCATGGTGAATGACACCATCTGTTTTAACATATTCACGAACACTCTCTACATTGATTCAATTATTGCCCATATAGAATAACATTGTTGGCATCATTTGAAGCAAATTTAAATTCTTTTTATAATTCATTCCATAAGCATGATCAAACACGCATTCTGTGTAACAAATTGGTAAGAATTTTGTTCCAAAAGGGTTTCACAAGGTTTGATTGATGAAGAAATGTGACTGTGGATGGATGAAGAAAGATAACGATAAATTATGAGATTTCAATCATTTGTACTAAAAATACTCCAAATTACAACCACAACTAGGGTTTTGTTGATAAGCCTGGAATTTTAGGAACAAAGTCACAAATAACTTGACTTAAATCTAATGATTTTTCGTTGACATCATAAATTGAAGCTATGAACAACAGATGAAAAAGGGAATCCCGAATCCACTATCCATCACAAACGTAGAATATGTAACTATACTGAATATGAAAAATTATTAGGCTGGCCACGAAGGTCACGGAAGTAACCTCTAGGATTAGCTTCAAAAGCAGCCCTTGGTAACATTAATGGAGATCTACCCGGTGCTATCATCATCATATATTCATCCGAATCTGATCTTCTTAAGCAGCACAAACACCGACCGAGTGAGCACAGGGCGTTGAAGGAGCGGATGAGAACAGCGGAGACGCACCAGAACAAGCAGTGGGAGATGCACAGGCACGTGATGAAGGCGGCGGCGGCTATGAGATAGGGTGCGGCGACGTCGAGCCAGGGGCGAGGAGTGTCTGGTGGGAAATCCTTGTTGAATGCACCGGTCAGATACTGGAAGAAGTTGTTGACGGCGGAGACGATTTGATTTAAGATATCGTCGACGGTGATAGTCAACTTCTCCGGCGAGTCGTCCATGGTGCTCGTATTTGGGTAAACCCTCTTGGCGTCACTTGAATCAGACCTAAATACATTTTGGGGGTAAATCGTAAATGTAGACCGCGCAAAAGCGGTCTTGGACCCAGTCTCCAGTCCGGTATATTTTAGGCTAGTTTGGTTTTGTTGCCATTTCGTTTTTTTTTTTTTTTTTTTTTTTTTTTTTTAATTATTATTATTATTATTATTATTATTTTATAGTTTCAGTTTTTTTGTTCGATCTATAAATAGTTGTATTAGATGGGTAGTAGGTAGAAGTCTATTGATTTTATAAATGGTCAGGTTAGGTTCATCTATAGTTCATAAATGGAAGTGTAGTCATTTTAACCATTTTACCCCTCTACATATACTATAAAAAGGCGATCGTTGGATTTAATTTAAAATAAAGGTTGTAGCCCTAAACAATATTGTTTTATCATTTTGTGAAACTTTCAATGAGTGATGTTTGATAAACTTTGAAGTCAGAGGTTGTTTGATAGAGACTATATGATTATAATTTAAATCAAACAAAGATTCTTAATGAATCTACCAATAAAACATATTATTTGGTTAGATTTTGAATGAATATTGGTAGTAAGATTTTCTTAATTTTGATGAAGTCATTGAACTGCTAAACTTGCATTGATTTATTTAGCCTATATCTGTGTTAGAACTCTTTAAATAACATTGAATTGAACCACCATTTTTTCATAGAGTTTTTTGGCTCCATATTTGCATGAAAATACAATAGATAAATCTCATGGAATAATAGATGATGCTATTATCTTCTAAGGCTCGAAACAAATGATAATGTCGGTGGTTATGTCGAAATCAAAGTTGAAGATGATAGTAGCAATAACTCTAAAGTTGAACATATACAAACCTTGCTAATTATACTATCACATCTATGTATGTAGAGCTTCTCATGTTTTTACCAATGTAATCTTCACTACTAATTAACTTATAAAATGTTCATTTTGCTCATTTTCAATAGGCACCCAAAGTACTCGAAAAGAACTTCAAGGTCATATACCCTTATTCGACACCTATGTGCTTTATTTTTCCGATCATCCTAGAACATTAAAATATAATTTGTGTACTATAAGCTTACTGTTACTAAGGTATTGTTTGTTTTTTTCTTAAAAAAAAATCATTTCTGATCACTTATTGTTGCGTCGCGCAACACATGCGCATCACTTGGCCCCTTTGCAACTGTTTGTTTTTCAGAAAACTTCTAGCTTAAAAACTGTTGTGTGTGTTTGTTGTGTGGTGCAGCATTTGACCTTTTGCTTCAAACATATTTACATCTTACTTGAACTTATTGCAAGAGTTTACAGATGTTAAAAAACAAACAGATTTTTTATTAAATGTTGCAACCGTTTGGTCCCCTTCTTCTGCAGAGATTGTCCACAAACTTTAGACATTTTCACTTCAAAAAAACAAACGGCACCTAAGTTGATAAGTTGGTGCAAAGAAATTCATATAGAATTAACATAATGTACCACCAATTTACAAAGATAGAAAGATAATGTCATGCATATAGTTCAAGTATAAACCTCTTTTATATATATATATATATATATATATATATATATATACCTTTTGCAAACACTTCAGTTTCTAAAAGTCAAATGTAAATGTCAAATGCCCATAAAAGCATAAACGTCAATAAACTAAGATGAAAGGGAAACTTGATAAATTGATCAAAAATAGTTGAAAGAAAATGATAATAGTGAAATGTCTTTTAATCCATTCAAAATTCAAATTTAGATTCAAGAAAATGTGAATTAAAATGCATAGATGAAAAGCTAAAAGCAAACATGAAAGAATAAAAAGGTACATTTTAAATGAAAATAGAAGGCAATGGTCTAGACTCTAGACCCTAAAAGAGTACTCGGATTTTGTAAATTTAAAAAATAAATAATTTTGGAAATTTTATATACATAACATTACAAATATCCTAAGTTCAATAAATTTTATAACAAAACAGATAAATATCAAAAATAATTATAGATTTTATTTAAAAAAAGGTCAAACTTGCTGAGTTTGACGGAGAATTTTTGAATCTGACCAATTTTTTTTTTCCAAGTTTGATTGATTTTGAGAAAAACAGCATTTCAATTACTTGGCTAAGTAGATCGAATTTTATACTACTACATGGGAAGTGGTCATTTTTTTATCACTTTAGCAAAATAACCATAACCTCACCATTTTGTATCGGCAATTTAGTGAAAAACTATTAAAAAACACATCAATCATTAACTTGTTTTACAACACAATTACAACAAAAAAAAAAAAAAAAAAAAAGATACATTTTTTTTCTTGAAAAGGTCAGAAAAAAATACGTACTCAATGACAACGACGAGTCTAGAACCCCCAAACAGAAAACGTTAGCATAATATTGTGCTAAACTTAAAACTTGAAACAATGTTCATAATTAATTATACGAAAAATCGTTAGGCCTGCCACGAAGGTCTCGGAAGTAGCCTCTAGGGTTACGTTCAAAAGCAGCCCTAGGCAACCTCGTCGGACGTCTCCCGGGTGCGTTCATTCTCCCAGCCGACCGTCGTCTTCCGCACAAGCAGCGGCAGCAGCACACGCCGATGATCCAGAAGATGGCGGTAACGATGAGATAAGGTGCCGCCGCATACAGCCAGTCGTAGATTTGCTTAGCGTCTTTGTCCGTCACCGATTTCGGTTTCACGGCGGAGACAAGTTGAGTGAAGATGTTACCGACGTTGTTGTTCGATTTCTCCGGTAAATTGTCGGCCATAGATATTAATGGTTTGCCCTCACAACCACCTATCACCACTGGCAACTTTATATGTGAACTTGAGAGTAATTACCAAAATAGTCCCTTAGTTATTAGTCGGATGTCATTTTCAGCATATACTCCTATATTATGGAAGCATGAAAATTGTAAAACTTCAATTTACTAAAAAGTCCCCGAGAGTATTTCGAAGAGAAATTATGAAATTTAAATTTACAATCTGACATTTCCCTCAACTTTTATGTAAATGCCCTAGCAAACACCTACTACCAAACAACAACATTGTATTATTTTGATTTGTATTGCAGTTCTTGAAATAAAATCGCAAAAATGTTACGCAAAGAAATAATTTTTTTTAAAAGGTCAACAATATTGGAATTGTATTTGTACATTAACTTTTCCTATAACACTTCTTTACTTTTAACCAATAATAGCAATATAAAAAAATATAAAAAAAAATTAAAAAAATTAAAAAAAAAAAATTACACATAATAACAACATAGTTGCAATTTTTCACTATCTTCATTTGTGACTTTAGCGGCAGCGTCAAGGGCAGAATCGTCATTTTGAATTAATATTTCTAAATCTATGTAAGTCACTTAGTAGTGGATTATTTTAAAGTATAATATTATGATTGTAAGATATGGAAGTAGAATCATATAATAAACAAAGTAACGAAACTAAGTTCCCAATTCTTTAGTTAACCAATATAAAATGCTAGAATAAACAACCTACTTCAATTTCCTAGCAAAAAAACGCGAGTTACTTTCAACCAAATTTTGTGCCATTTCCCATTGTGGAAAGGATGGGAAAAATTAATATGAGTTCGTTTCATGATGCATGAAAAGAAAAGTTTGAGAATGAAGCAGCTTAGATCAAGGCCTCTGAATTATGTTCTTTGTGGCATGATAATCTTAAAAACCCAAAATGACATGTTATTCGAATAGATGGTGATTATGAGGATCAAACCTCATAATCACCATTTATTCGAACATCATTCCACTCTAAGTGTTTAAGCTTATCATGCCACAAAGAACATAATTCAGAGGCCTTGATATGAGCTGCTTCATTCTCAAACTTGTCTTTACAGACATCATGAAACGACTTCCTATTAATTTCCCCAATCCTTTGCACACCAGTATTTGTACGCCCTTTGTACGCTCACTTAGCATATACTTCAGCCACATGAACCCAAAACCAAAAACACTTTATAACTTATTTCAAAGATTAATGGAATTTAGTCACAAGTGGTTAAAATTTAGAAATGTAGCTAATTACTTCCATAAATATAGCTTTCGTATTGTTTTTCATTCCACAATTTTGCCTTCAGATTCTTCAACAATTTATGTCCTTCGTTGATCACTTCCTGCATCATACCATAATAATACGACATCACAACATAATAAAATAAATTTAAATAAAGATATCAAATTGAAGCAATAAACAACAAACTTTATGACGGTCACTATCTACTTTGACCATTTTTATGGGATGTCACTTCGGATTTTTAAGCTTGCCACAAAAAGCATTGTTCGGAGGCCTTGATTCGGGTTTCTTCATTATCAAACTTCTATTAGCAGCCGTCAAAGTGTAACATCCTGTTGCGAATCATTTCCTAATTCGGGGTCGTGATCCGAGGATCGTATATCATAAGCCTTAAGGCCTACGGGAAAAAGAGATTTAGACCCTTTTGCATGTGGGTGATGTAGGTTAGATAATCTGGGGGTTCGGCTTGTGATTTGAAACCCAAGGGTATAACCGTAAAGTGTCAGTTTGGGCTTTTTATGAATTTTGAATTTTAGTTTGAGAAGTTTCAAGGAAACTATGAGTGAATAGAAGTGTAGAGCTTCTCGTTACCTTTCTGGAGATATAAGGGTCGTCAAAAACGGACTTAGAATGAAAAGTTATGACCTTCGAAAGTTTGGTGGTAATTAGGGTTGAGCTAGTACGCGAGGTGTACATCGGAGTACGCAATGTGTACTAGGTAGCGCGGTTATGGGTGCTCTTTGGAGTACATTGGGCATACCAAAAGTACACATGGCGTACTCATGTCAGGCCTAAACCCTAATTTAGGGTCTTAGACCCTATTTAAGCTCCTTAACTCAACACCAAACCCTCTTATCTTTAGCGTCCATCCCATTAAACCCTTTAAACAAAAACCTAGTCCCCATTGGTGTGATTATTGAGATTTTGGTGGTATTTCATGCATTTTGGGGCTCATTGAAGAAGAAAA